CTTTAGGGTTATGAAACCGTCTCCAGCGTGTTGATCACAGCTACCAGCTCATTTGTCGTACATAACCGTCTCATCTGGCATCAACCGGTCTCCCTCCTCGCAGCAAACGTTTCCCTCCTCAGCAGGAACATTGTCTTTCGTGACATTCCTCCACCGTTTGGCTGCTCGCCCCAATTTCTGTAGTTTTGGAAGCCCTCAGATGTCCCGAGGCTCTTCGGTGGAGTTGGAAAGTGCACATGTAGCACGATCGGAGCGGAAGCAGAAATTTCCGTGTGTGTGTCTTTCGCTAACCCACATCGAGTCTTAAACTTTCTTAAGTCCTTGGCAAGAATTCTCATTACAAGAAAGATTTGGTATACAGATTATAAGTCAGGTGCATATTTTCAGGTGTCAGATGTTTGTGTGATTTCAATCTCAGGTCGGATAAAGTCTTTATGGAGTCACATGGAGTCAAGAGTTGAATCCAAAGCTGGTTGTAGCCTGCTATGTAACGATGCATTAATAGAAATCATCATAAACGTGTTAGAGAAATGGATTATGAAGCAACGTATCGCTGGTTTGAGGTCAGATTTTACCTTTGAAATTTGTGTTTTTGTGGAATTCTTAACTTAAAAAAGTAAGAAATTAATACTAAAATTGAACGAGCAGATTGTATGTTTGATTTTTCAGCAGTGGGACCGTGGTTGTGTTCGCTTTGCATGCTCCAAGAGACGCTCTGCAGCTTTGGAAGTGGGCTGCAGCCGGCCCACCTAATCAGACTGGTGTTTTCTGTGCAGTTGGACGAGGAAGAGGCATGTTTTAGGCCCAACCTACCCCTCATCTACCATCAGCCTGGGTTAAGATCTTTCCTTTGCAACATAAACCTGACCTAAGTCAAACTTTGCTCGGCAGTGTGGATCCAAAGCAATACTTCATGTCTCTACTTGCACTGAGGCTTCTGTAAAACTAAAGGTTGGCTGTAGTTTAAGTGCTGTTGTTGGAAATTGTATCAGTGAACAGAGCCCACGACATCAAGCTGCTCCAGTGAAGCTCCTCGGGTCTGTTTCTGTTTCGACGACGACGACATCACAGGCTGTTGGAACCGTAGGTGCGATCCCGGGGTTCTGCCTTGAATACGCAAGGGTTAAAAAAAGTGCTTTGACTAAGGCTAAAGTGACAGCCTCTCAGCCACCCCGGTCCTCTGCAGCTTAGAGCTTCTCTCTGATTATGCAAAGCAGCGACTGCCTGCTCAGGACACCTCAAAGCTACTCCGGGAGGTAAAGAAGCTTTTCTGTTTTGTTTTTTTTCCAAAGGGAGAGAGAACACAGGGGGAAAAAATACGAATGTCAGAGCTTTCTAAGCTGTCTTTTCTTCTTAAACTCACAGAAACATCTTATGGCCTTAACTCTATTTCTGCGAGATGCGGCCGCCGGTCGTGACTTGGTGGGCAGAGGCTCTATAGTCATGACTCGGCTAATTTGGGGCAGATTTGGGATGGGTGTGGGTGACCATGTGTGAAGGCTTCGTTTGAGGCAATTCAGAGCGAGTGCGATGGATAGATGTATATATATTACAAATTATGTAATAAAAGAAAAAGGCAATATTATTCTATATTCTATATTTACTCACCTTATCGCTGCGGTGAATGTGAGTGTGTGACCTTAAGCGAATGTGTTAATTACTGAGCTTTAGCGTCGCTCGTAGACAGATTCAGACGCCGCCAGACGGAGAGAAGCTTTCCCCTCCTTTTAGTTTTTAATCTGAACTGAATGGCTGCTTGATGCGGCGTCGTATTTAACGCTATCAATATTCTCATCTAACTCTTGGCAACCTTTCAGTTTATTTGCTTGGTTTAATCTGTGAGGCTTAAATGATACTTAGCGTTGATTTCTGGGATTTATCACACCGAAGCTTTGGCAATATATTCAACTATATGCATTTTTTTTTGAATTGCAGGTAAACAAGGGTCAGTTTCCTCAAAAGCTCCATCTTTTACTGCCAGGGACAGCAGCAGCAGCATTCTTATCATTTTTTAGGGTCTCAAGGTTTGGCTATCTGTCACCGTCTGGAAAAATAAAAATAAAAAAGTGGCTGGGTTATTCTTCTGGGATATCGTCTCTAAATAACATCCCTCATCCTTCCTCTGTTTGTCTCTCACCAGCATATGCATGAGGCTGTAGAGCTGAAGCAGCAGTTGCAGACAGAGCATGAGCAAGCCTTGGTGGCCCTTCACACCAAGCAGAAGGAGATCAATCAACTGCAAAAGGTACGATCACTAACCGAAATTGATCATTAAAATCAACCTTTTCTGATGCTTTTCGACGCACCCCTGAGCTCCTCGCTCAGCTGCCGACGTCTCAGTAGCCGGTTAATGCTGAATCACTGTCACAGAGTCGCTGCTACTGTATCGAGGAAACACAAAGAGCTCCGAAACCTGTCCAGAAATCAGCAGATTCAGATTAGAATTGCAGATTCAGCTGCGGCGCCTTTGATCGCGCGATGAAGAGCTCTCCCTGCTAAAAATGTTGCCTTTCTAGTTGTTGATAAATTTATACACCTCGTGAACGTCCCTCGGCGTGCAGATGTTGCTTTATTTTGTAGGTGTTGGTACATTTTAGGAAGTGATATATGTGTTCTTGCTCAGAGAGCGGTTGAATAACACTTGACGTATCACAGGGGGATACATGGAAGTGCTTTTGACACTGCTGAGTCCGTCTGGAGGTCTGAGAAGTTCAATTAAAAGCTGTATTTTTACTCAGCCTGGGGCCATGAATTTAATATAAGGACTTGCATCTTGTCTTAAGCACACTAAATCACCCTGATGGTCAAGACCCACACATTTTGTTTAAGCCTGTGTGTTTATTTTTAGCTTAAATTTTGCTGTATGTTTGACTTACTGCAGCGTGTTTTTGTTTACCCTATCAAAATAAAAGCTTCTTTAAATGATTGATGGCTCTAATAATATCAAAATATTCCCCGGATTAGAGTCAGGCTTTGATTTTTTTTTTTTTAAACGGATAAATGAGGGGCTCCTTCTTCAGAAAACTGTTGTCTGATTTCAGTCCCGTTTTTTGCGTTGATGTCTAATCAAAAGAGAGTCATTAACAGTCAAAAACAAAGCCTAATTGATTCATACGATCGCACGGAGAGCTGTTTTTTTTTTTTTAATGTTGAAGACTGTGCTTTCACTTCCTTTAACAGCCACCACTTGGACACTAACACACCCCTAAAATAAATCAGTTTCTGTTCATCGGAGCTGTGCCATCAGGAGTAGGCATCTCTTCAAGCACCAGAGCTGTGATGAGCCAGTGAGCCTCTGCCAGGGTATTGCGTTGACAGTATGTCAGCTGTGCGCTGTCTATTCCACCTCATGCGCCGCGATCACAGTGTCAGCTGTCACCGTGTGTTTCTGTGTGTTTCTCCGCAGGCTTGGGTTCAAATTGACCAAGAGCATGAGGAAGCAGTACACCTGTTAGAGGTACAGTAACACAAACAGACACTGATATTTACCCGCTCTGACCTCAGTGACACAACATGTAAACATGCTTTACATTTATGTTTTAAGCACAAGAATATAACAGAAAAGTATTAAACACTTCAGATGGGGTAATTAGGTGAGCTTTTCTTGTTAAATATGGGTTCATTCCATTTCAATTAATCGTTTTTTTAAATCTATCTACATTTTTGTACAGTTTTCGGTCGATATATTTAATGCTATCTGAAATAATAAACACTTTTTTACACATTAAAATTTGAGGCTATGTTTAAACAACATCAGGAACGACTGAGATGATAGTCTCACATTTTCACAGTTATTTCTCATGGACAAGATGATCAAACAGTTCTGAGCCACATGCAGCTGCATGTCACAGTAACACCAAACAAAACATTTAGTATACGTTTTATTGTGAAATGCGTAGTCACAAAAAAAGAAAGTTACGGGTATGAAAAGCTGTGCCTGAAAAACAAAAGCATCGGTACATATTCTAATCGGAAAGGACCAGTGTTCTGGAGTTTCTTAGTTTTGTACTTTTAGCACAGACTCAACACTTGTTTAAACAAAGTCAACAGGCAATTACATGTTTTATTTGGCTGTATTTGATATATCAATCTAAAATTTCACAGGTAAAATCGTAAATATTCATAGTTTACGATAAAAAAAAAGTTTCCAGCAAATCAGAGATGGTTGAGCAGATGGATCCTGATGATTTGCGACTTGGGGCGGCTGTGGCTCAGCTGGTAGAGCGAGTTGGTCGATGATCGGAAGGTCGGCGGTTTGTTTCCGCCCTGTAACCTGTGTCGTGGTGGTTGTGTCCTTGGGCAAGACACTTCACCCACCTTGCCTGGTGTGAATGGGTTGTTTGAGATGGTGGTCGGAGGGCAGAATGGCAGCCACGCCTCTGTCAGCTGTAGTTGCAACTGTATCTACCACCACCGGAATGAATGAATGAGTGTGAATGAATAACTGACAGTGTAAAGGGACTTTGAGTGCCTAGAAAAGCGCTATATACATCTGATCAATTATTATTATTATTAAATGAAAAGGGGGTTTGATAGGGAAACACAGATGAGTCTGTGATATGCACTTCTTCTTCTTTAGATCATCTATTTTATATTTTTTTAAAAACCCACCTATTTCTAATAGACACTCACCAGTCGCTTAATTAGCATCTAATACAACAACTCTAAATTCTACTTTCATGAAGTTTTCAGTTTTCAGTTTTTCCTTAAGTTGTCAAAAAGTTCTTCTTTATGTTTATTATTTGTTTGTTGATGGAGATGTACTGGACTGCATTACTTTTAAAAGGGTTCCTAGTATTTTGTCCACCCCTATTCACATACATGAGCAAAATATAGGACATGCATTTAAATGTAAAGCAGTCCAGTGCACGGCCATCATCCACTATGACGTAAGAAATAGAAAACAGTTAAACTATCACATTTTAAACATCAGCCAAATCTGAAAATGTAGAAGCTTCGTAGAGGTGAAGTTTGTGGCTCTACTTACAGACATGCAGTATTTTGTAGCTAAATGCTAACTTGAGCATCTTTATTACTGTGTTCCTGTTTAACCACGTTTGCTGATCAACAGTAAAACTGAGGTTTATCATTATTTCTGTGGATATTTTAAAGTATTGCACAAATCAGAATTTCTCTCTGCTGATGACCTCGGCTATAAAATAAAAATCAAAGAATCCCCCGAAGTGAACAGACTCCATTGTGTGGAAACGCATCCTGTATTTGTTAAAGTATTTCAGTCTGGACCGAAGCAGCGCCCCGACCTGCTCTGCCGTCTCTGGAGCCGGGCTGCAAGCTGGACTAAAACAATAGTTATTAGTCAAACTGCAATGTACACACCCACGCAGTTTTCAATAAGCACAGCTGATTGCACCTCTGCTGAGGCTGAAACTGGCCGGAGCTGCTCTGCTGTGAATTACTTAAAGTCAGTAAACAGCATTTACCAAGAAGAACGATAGAACGTCCCGACTAACGAGAGAGCGAGAGAGACGTCACAGAAGCACAATCTGCAGACCTAACCAAGAGAAATAATCTTATATTTAGATTCTGGCGCTTTCTAAGGAAGATCCTCTGACTTGATTCAAGTAAACGCCGCATGCCTTTGTCTTTGTATGAACTAGATACAAGAGACGTGTCTCTCTACAGGCGTCTTTTGCATTATTTAGGCTTAACTAGATGGTTTGAAATGAATCTTTTTGATCTTATTCCAAGATCTCATGCGCTATAATGACAGCCTGACTTAGTTTAAAATATCTTGTCAGGCAAAACTCAGTTGTTGCTTACTTGCCAAATGTTCCTATATCTCAAGTCTGGCCTTAAATTTGACAGGACAAGTGGAGAACCAGTGTTGGATTCTGGTTTTCCAATTTTAATTTAAAAAAATTAATTTGTTGGAATTCCAGTGACAGAAACCTGCACAGGAGCATCATCATCAGGGTGTTGGTCGGTGACAGATTATGCAGTAGAAATAAGAACTTGAATTTGATTTCTTCATACAGACGCAGGCCTTCTCCTGCCCAGAAATACTCGTGAGCAAATGCTGTAACGTGGTGTAGGTTTCTTAAAACCCCACACCGGGATGTGAGTCACACATCAGAGTATTCAAACGGTAGCTTTAGCCTCTTCCATCCACCTCCTTTAGGTTTGCCGTGTAAAAATACGACTCCAAACTTTTCTTCTTTGACAGTTGCAGACTCACGCGTGGCGTTAACGCTGCATCCGGGCTGACCTCTGATCAAATCGCCGACCTGCTGCGCCTCATCGCAGTCTCTTAAGATGCTTGTCGCCGGCTCGTGCACTCGAAACGATTCCACTTCTAAATCCGCTCGTCGTGACAATGGGTTGTGGACTCCTTTGAGCGCGGTTCAAGTGAGGTCGTGTTATTATCCATCGGAGGCACTTTAATACGATTTCACTGAGCAAGCAGCCGGGGTTTGGCTCAGGCAAACAGTTTGGTCAAAGAAACGGGAAACTCCGCCGTCGAGGAGTTCTTCTTACAAATCCGGTCGAGAGTCTCTTTCTGTTTCTCAGGCAAACAGAAGGAACGCCGAAGCTGCGCCGCCTGTACGAGCAAATAAACAAACAAATAATCCCCTATATGTTCTCCATCCTCCGTTATGTAAAGCTTTCTCTTTGACATACATTCTTCTTTGTTCTCTTTGCTTTAAACTTCTGTTGCTTGTTCCCTCATTTGCATTCATTAATGTTCTATCATCAGTTGTGTGTTTTTTCTTTTCTTATAATTTGTCTTCTTCCTTTTACTTTTTCCGACTGCATCCTTTTTGTCTGAACAGAACGATAAGGACAGAATGTTTCAGGTATTTACTTTCCTCTGTGATTCGTTCCTTCCTGTGAATTTTCCCTCAAAATGAGAATCCAAACTCTTAATAAGTCCTACTAATAGGGTGTCCGTGATATGTTGGCTTAACCCCGAGCTCAGGCTTTGTTATCATACGTTAGCGATGTCATGTATCAGCAGATGACGCTCCACTTCTATATGCTCTGATTAAAGTGCTCGAGGTTTCACCGTAACATACTGCTACAGCCCGGAAACGGCTCTTTAGGGATCCTTTTCTAATTAGGTCTGTGTTCGATCAGCATTAATAGATAAAAAGCCTATTCTGTGGAGAACCCGTATCTATACAATTACATGTGATGAATTTTCCACTCTTGGACTTTTTCTTTTCTTTCTTTCGCTCCCTCCCTCTCTCGATCATCACCGACCGCTCTGCTCTCTTTCCCCCCCGTTATCCATCGAAGGTCAAGGTTCGTGACCTGGAGCAGAAATGCAGGTCACACAGTGAACACTTCCACCAGCTGTCCAAAGAGCTGCTGAACTTCCGCCTGCAGTCGGAACCTGTGGATATCCTTCAGATTGATCCCATCTCCCACATCCCGTTCTCACCAGAGAAGAAAATCGCACAAGTCATTGTTGGATTTGAAGTCCAGCCACAGCCAGGTGGGTCAGAGGATCGACCGATATGGGACGATACCGATTATTGGTAATCAAGAAAGGCTGATATCTGGACCTGATGTACCTTAAATGTAATGTTTTAACAGCATGTGATAACAGAGAACCTGTCATTCATAACATGGCTTCTTTATGAATAAGGATGACCAAAACTAAATATGTAAAAACAGAAATAGGAGGGAATAAATGATCTCCTCTGTTTATATGAGATCAATTAAGATTGTTTGTCTCCGTCTGCTCTTCTTCTCTGTTTTCTTAATCTTTCACTGTTCTGTCACTTTTATTTCCCACTAAGATCCAGATTCTGTTTCAGGTTTGTCTGCAGCTGCCTTCTAACTTAGCTGTTAGCCGTTAGCATAGCCACTGTGAGAGGAGCTAACTTCCTGGTTTGTGGCGACGACTTTTGTTTCCTGTTCGGTTTTTGCAGCCTCTGCTTGAGAGACATTCCTGAAACCACAGAGTGACGACAGACAGAGAGGAGCTGAAGTTGCGCGTTTAATTAATCAATTATCGGCCAATAAAAATACAGATAATCGGAAAAATGTCAAACATCGGCTACGATAATCATACAGGCCGATAATCTGTCTGTCCCCAATCGGAAGTCTCACCTCACCAATGATGTACTTATTTAAATTCTGCTGGAAAATGTTATCTACATGTGTGTTTTCAGATATCATTATTAATTTATCCATATTCAACTACATCCAAAGGAATTCCAGCGCAATCAAAGACTGTTTTTTACCGCATCGAGTCCATGAGGCATGTTTAGAAGTTATTCTTAGTGTAGTTATTTTTGTACTCATCCACTGTTAACAATATGGCCATATGTGTGTTCTATGAATCCTATATACACTCTATACGCCTGCAATTACTCCGTGATTACTTGTCATTGTGAATTATTGGTATTAATAGGAGTGCTATCAGTACTTGCAGCGATAGTCTACTACAGTTTAATGATTTTATCTGTTTCCTTAATAGTGATTATTGGAGTATTATGGTTAAATAGTTTACTGTCACCCATCGTCAAACATCCCTGCGCTCCAGAGCGTTTTCCCAGATTACATTATGATCAGATGGAATGAGAGTGAGAGTGAGCTAATCCCCAGACAGCTCACATAACAGCTGGATCGGTTCGCGCCCTGCTAGAGGTGGACCCCATTAATGACGACGGTGCTTATTCATGATCAATATCCATCCTAATTGATCACAGGCCTGATGTATGACATGAGTGTGATTTAATACATTAGTATTCTAACAACACCTAGTGCAACCTGCAGAGCCAGCAGATACAGCCGTATCAGCGATGTAGATTTATACAGTCTGGCACCAAGCAAAGGTCTTTGAAGTGCTGGAAATCCTGTTTTATCTTTTCCCCTCAGTGGAAAAAGAAGTCGCTGGCGCTTTTGTGCTAATGCATAATATTCTCACTCGCAAACCGCAAGAACCCAGTGACGCAGTGGATCCATGTTGTTGACTTATTTTAATTTCCTCCAGGAATCCAACTGTTTGCACTCTTAGACTGCAGTTTTCTAGTTTGTATTTCCGGCATTTTTTATACGTGTGTTTTTTTTTTTGTTCCTGAGGACCGGTATTTAAAGACATGTGTGCTGCAGATGAAAAGGGCTGATGAGGGTGGAATAGCCTTTTGCCACGAAGTGTATAAGCTGTAGCATCGCCTCAACAGGAGATCAATAGCGGTGCAATGAGAGGCAAATGGGTGCAGATGGAATGACAGTTGCTCTTTATTTGCTATGGAAATCAATGTCTCCCAGGTGATGAGAGCGCTGCAGACACGCCGCTACTGATCTCCCAGTTCTTGCCCTGCACACCGCAGACTGGAGACAGAGAACGAGCAGAACAGCTGCCTGTCAAACCCAGCACCGTGACAACGGACCACCCCAGCAGCCCTCGACAGCTTACCCCATCAGAGGTGGGTCTTAAATACTGCTTCATGTGTATTAAACGATTTATGCACAGTATCTGTAAATGTGAATTCCACTTAATCTCTCATTACTCTATAGATGGAGGATGAGGCCAGCCCATCACCCAGGTCCAAACCTCGCTACACAGGCCAGGTCCGCCTTTGCACTGCCCGTTACAGGTGATTCTGCTCACGCTGACTTCATTTTGCATGATCTTTAAGTTTCAAAATAAAAAAAAAAGATGAAGTTATGAAACTGTCGTCTTTTCTCCTCCAAGTTACAACCCTTACGATGGACCAAATGAGCATCCTGAAGCGGAGCTGCCCCTCGTGGCTGGAAAGTATTTATACGTGTATGGAAACATGGATGACGACGGATTCTATGAAGGTGAGAAGTGAAATGAGACAACACAATTGCTGTGTAGTGCAGAATAAAATCAGCATAAATTAGAATCAAACGTGGATCTCGGCGCAGGAGCGTGTTGCCTTTCAAGTCTGCTTTATGTGAAAAATGCCTGACAGTCAAAACAAGTGTGCGTTTTCTCAAAATGACACATAAATGATGCCGAGACATGCGTGCTCAGTCGTGTTTATTCGTCTTTGAAGTTATGTGGTTTGCTATTTTTAGTGTAATCTTTAGCATCTGAATCCCCGCAGCATCCACGATGGTGTCTGAGGAGCTTTGCGGCATATATAATGTACATTGTGCCACATTATACATGCAGAGTTGTATGTGCAGAGCCACATGTCCGATGCATTTTGTACCCTTTCGTGTCACTGTACATTACATCTTGTTAACTTTGTAGTGCGCGCGCAAGACATGACAACACAGCACAATTAAAACTTAATGCAAAAGAGCTGATTCATCACTGTAAACACGGCTACCAAAATAGCTCTTGTTAGGGCGACAGTTTGCATCATTTGTCACCCTCAATATGTCCGTCACATGCCTGCTGGCTATTTTCATCCTCTGACCTCCTCTTTGTCAGCGCAGGGTGTCACCAAGAAAAGTTTACTTTTTCATAACTGGTGATTGGATTGATTCTCTGTCTAATCTCTTTAGAATTATGAAGGCTTCTCCATCAGAGGCAATCCTAATCCCCCCAGCTAGCAATCCTGCAGCCAGCGCAGCCTGTCATAGACACTGTAGTGCTTAGCTGCCGTGATTCATTAGCTGTGGGCGGTCAGATTGCATGGCATTGTGGAGGAGCCTTGTATTTACCACACAGGAGGGAGACTCGGGCCTCAGACCAAGCTGTTGTCAAGATGGGACCTTGGTCCCTTTTAGTTTGATGACTAATCCAGCAGGGCTCAGCTTAATCATCAGCACACACAAACATCACACACATCCACATGCACACACACAGATGGTCTTAAGGTCTCCCAGGCCTCTGTAGAAAAAGGGATTGAAGGACAAGATGATAGGGAGCTTTGTTGAAGACAAACTTCTTGCCTTTGGGAAAAAACTACACTGCGAATGTAAGCTTTTTTCTTTTCTTTTTTTTTCCCTGCATTGACCGCAGCATCTACATGCTCTGGGGTGTTCCTAGAAATGTTCAAAAGCAGTGAACTAAAGTTTGAGTTCTTCAAAAATGTCAAAAAAAGGAGTGTTTTCTCAGCTGAGTGTTTACTGGAGGAGTATTAAAGACAGCATCAGAGAAGCCACGGTGAAACTTACATCTTACTGAATAGTACATTCTGTATGTTTACATATCTTCCACCTCTCACTCAGTGACTCATTCCCACCCTGCAAGCTCTTACTGATGATTTGTGTGCTCAAGTTATTGCTTTCCTTTTGTCTTTGTTGTGTAAGGAGCCATTAGAGAAGCCTAATTTTAACATTTGCAGAAGACATCACAGAGGGATGCTGCACTCTCCTAACGAGACATTTGTTAGAGGCTAGTGTGTTCAGGTAGCATCAGGCTGTTTGTTCATCACTATGAACATGAGGAATGAGGCACAACGTTGAGTTATGTCCTACATCTGAGTCTCCACTTCTTTCTGCATCACAGGGGAGCTGCTGGATGGCCAAAGAGGACTTGTTCCTTCCAACTTTGTGGAGTTTGTCCAGGACAAGGAAAAACCAGCAATTCAGGCTGGGGAGGGAGGGGAAGACCTGGGCCCGCTGGACCACAACCCTCTGGCCTTGATGGCAGTGGACGGAGGTGCCTCCCAGGACGGCCTCCTGGGCTCAGCTAATGCCTTGGTTCCCTGTAGCAATGGGACAGGGGGGCCCTTGGATCCTGAGGACCTAGCTGAAGATGTTGTGCCTTACCCTCGAAAGATCAACTTGATCAAGCAGCTGGCACGGAGCGTCATTGTGGCCTGGGAGCCTCCGATAGTGCCTTTGGGCTGGGGGAACATCTCTGGCTACAACGTGTTGGTGGACGGGGAGCTTCGTGCCAGTTTACCGTACAGTGGCAGGACCAAGTGCTTGCTGGAGAAGCTGGACCTGGACGGCTGCGTCCACCGCGTGTCGGTGCAGAGCGTCACCGACCGCGGCCTGTCAGACGAGCTGCGCTGCACCTTGCTGGTGGGAGCCAACGTGGTGGTGGCACCCTGCGGTCTGCGGGTGGATGACATCCAGCGTGACACTGCCGAGCTCTCTTGGTTGCCTAGCAACAGTAACTATGGTCACACTGTGTTCTTAGATGGCATAGAGCACGCAGTTTTAAAGCCGGGAAGGTATAGACTACGCTTCCTGAACCTGAAGCCCCTGACGGTGTACAAAGTGACGGTGGTGGCACAGCCTCACCAGGTGCCATGGCAACTACCGCTGGAGCAAAGAGAGAGGAAAGAAGCTGGTGTGGAGTTCTGCACTCAGGCAGCAGGTCAGAAAGGCTCATTTCTATACATAGAGATACTATATCAATAATATATACACACGCAGCTCCACAACTGACGTTTGCTGTTGAATGTTTGAAACAACACGGTTGCCGGTTTGTGGCGCAGATGGAGTTTACAGCTCGCTGCCTCTCTGTTTACTGCAATTTACTGTAACTTCTAACATCACATGGTTTGTAGGTTCTTGTACTGTGCTGTAGAAGAGTACAGCGCTGCCTGTCCTTACCATGCAACTGTTGTGTATTGTATTCTGTCCAGGTCCAACACCATTTTGCAGAACAGGTCAGAATGAAACATCAGTGCTGGGCTGGGTTTCTCATATGTTTCAGCACTAAATCATCTTTTTTTATTGAATGCCACTGGGTTAGAGATGACATTAGTGCTATGATACGTTTAGAAGAAGGTTGTAGTCATGAAGCTGAGAATGATTACAACATACTGTTAAGTGTGAGGAGCCACTTAAGGGACGTGGGCAAAATGGCATGTTGTCACGGTTCTGAGATTGGAAAAAAAAAACATTTCCCCACAAGTAGCGCTTTCATTCACGTGTCAAATTTAAACACAGACTGTTGTTCGAAACCAAAATCCACATGCGGTTTTGCCCAAGTTTGCCGCACAGAGCACATCGCTAATTAGAGAACAGCCGAGCATCATAAGATATGATCAGCCATTACTCTGATGAGTCATTTCCTCAGCCTATAGCCTAGCCTGGAAAAACCAGTTCTATATAAAGCAGTGCTCCTCCACTGCTCGCTGAAATTACCATTTTGTATCAGTGTGCATTTGCTTCTGCTCGAATGCAGTCGTGCATGTTTTATCCAGAGATCCAGGAGAGTGGAAGACGAGCGGTAGTTAGTCTCTCTGGATTGTGTCCTGCATGCGGAGACGACAGTGCTTCTCTCAGGTGGCCAGCATTGTTTCATTTTTCCTTTTTTTCCACTTTAATAAAGAGAAACGTGAGGTTATGATGCAGTAGTAGTAGACCAGAGGAATGCAGAATATAGCCATGAAACTACTACACTGTGTGCATTTTATTCCACAACTTAGATTAAGAAGTACAGATCCCTAATAGTTTGTCATGTAGGTGAACAACTCGCAGCACACAGTGTCTTGTGAATGTCTCCCAGCAGCAATGTCACGCTATCAAGTATCCGCATGAATCTCTACAAAGTATAAATAAGGTGTTATGTAATTATTATTATTTATATAACTTTAGAAATGCAAGGGAAATAATAAATGGCTTTAGTTTGTTGTTTCCTGAGTCCCTCCACCTCCTCACTCCCTCGTTCGTATCTGAGCATTCCTGTGCATGGTTGTGTGTATGTGTGTGTTTACCCATTTGTGCATTTGATGAATGCTTCACCTCTTTTTTCTTTATATGGCTGTTTTTTTGTTTTGTTTTCTATCAAAACAGTGAATTATTAATGTTTTTTTTCTTTTCCCCCTTACACCTGTCCTCTCGCCTCCCAGGCCCCCCGATGCCTCCCCAGGACGTTCAGGTGCTCTGTGGGCAGGCTCCAGGGGTCCTGCAGGTCCGCTGGAAGCCCCCCATCCTCTCCCCCACGGGCACATCTAATGGGGCAAATGTCATTGGCTACGCAGTCTGCACTAAAGGGCAGAGGGTGAGTTAGCGTCTCCTCCCCGACAAGGATTACACGCTTATTTGAGCTCGCTCTGTTGAGGGAACGTTCGGTAGGTGATGTGAGGAGCTCGTCTCAACATCAGTCATGATTTAAAAGGGAAAGGCATCGTGCACAGTGAGGCGGCAGGAGCAGCCTGTGGAGAAATCACCAGCATATGAGATCCGTATTTCAAAGACTGAGATGCGGTGCAGAGATACGGCATTTAAAAAGGCCGTGAGAATTGTTTAATCACGTTTAATCCAGTTGAAATGTGATAACGTGCATCATAGATTGGATGCTAATAGCTTCTGTCTGTGAACGTAGCATTATGTCATCAGTGCTCTCGGTGCACGCGGCAGTGCCACCTACTTGTGATTAGCATTCGGTGCAAGATTCTCAGCCTCGGCCCGCGAGAAATGTCTTGGAAAGGTCTCTCACTCCCTCTGGTGACCGCCGGAGTAAATCGACGCACCGTATCTGAAAGGGTAAATCAGCAATGAACCAGAAAGCTGCTTCTGAGCTGCTCTCTACGGGGTTAAGAGCTTTTTTCTCAGCTCTGGAGTGTTTCAGTTTCACTCTTGTGTTGCCCCCTCTTGTGAGGTTGTGCTGCTTTGAGTGGAATTAACCTCTTAAGACCTTTTGGGTTATATTACCACAGTAGTTATTTTAAGATAAGATAAGATAAGATAAGATGTGCCTTTATTTATCTCACAGTGGAGAAATTCACATTGTTGATAGCAGCATTCAACAGAGGTACACATATACGAGACAGAAAAAAAAAAAAGTACATATAAATGTAAGAAATAGTGCAAACAAGGAGAGTAGTGCAAACAGAATATGAAAAATGGGCTTCTGAATGGGGCTTATATAAAAAAGATATATATATATGTATATTTATATTTCTATATAAAAAGATAGGGATTAAATATATAATAATAGTAGTAATAATAATAGTAATAACAATAATAATGATAATAATAATAATAAGCAGTGCAGTGCAGTAATATTTTATTTTTTTAAAATGTTTTTATTATTTTATTGTTATTATTTTATTATTGTTATTTATTGTAAAAATGTATATATATTTTTAAATATAATTGTATTTTCTTAATTTTTTAAATTACATTTTTTTCATTCTATTTGCTGCTTGATCAGGTCAAATAACAAAGAGAAATATTTTTTTAAAAATGCATATCAAACAGCAGCTTGGGTCTTAAGTGGTTAAACCCTAACAAACACTAAAACACGTTGCAGTTCTTGGTTCACAGCCCGATCAGTGATTTGACTGCAGGTGTTTTGTCCAGAAAATCACTGGTTGAGAGAGTGAAATTAAAAAACATGAGGGGATTTTGTTCATAGAGAAAGGATGCTAGCAAAAGTCCTACATTAGTGCACAGGGTTATAATAATAATTGTAAATAGGCTGGATTCTTCAATGTTTTTCACTTCTGTTGATGCTAACGGCTCATTTTCTCTCTTTGAATCCAGATAGCTGAGGTGTTGTTCCCAATGGCAGACTATGTTACAGTTGAGCTGACAAGGATTCAATGCCTGGAGGCCAGGGAGGTCATCGTCAGGACGCTGTCAGTACAGGGAGAATCCCAGGACTCCCAAGTCGCCGTCATTCCAAACAACCTGCTCGTGCCTCTACCTCCGCTCCCCCTGCCGCCGCCGATGCACCCTCACGCCGGCCCCCCTCCGCACCCCCACGCGGTGCCCCACCTCCAGTCGCCCCACCTTCCTCACGGCGTCCCCCAGCTTCCCGCTCCGGCCCACGTACAGCCGCTCCCGCCCCACCCTCAGCACCCTCAAGCCCACCCCAGACTCCCCCATCCAGGTGGGCCCCCGCAGCCCCAGCTCCGACCCCCGCACCCTCAGCCCCAGCCCCTGCACCTCCAGCCTCGCCCGCCCCACCAGGTCCCCAGGCCCCAGCACCAACTGCCTCTGCTGCCCCACCCCCAGCCCCACCCTATACCTCAGAGACCAGTAAGTGCCAGAGACCTGGATGCCAAAGAGCACACGGCCCACCACGGGGGAGCTATTCCACCCGGCCAGCCTGGCTGGGACCCCACGCGCTCTCCCTCCGCCCAGCCTCCGGTGCCCATGCAAGGCCACACCCTGGAGGCCCCTCCGTCGGCCAATCCTCGCTCGCCCTCCCCCCAGAGGATTCTCCCTCAGCCCCGAGGCACGCTCATCCCGGACACCGTGGCCAAAGCCATCGCTCGGAAAGCAGCGCAGAGGGTGGCAGCAGAAAGCGGCAAGGTCTGATGGGAATGGAAACGATAAATACCGTCAAACAATGTTGTAGATAAAGAAAGCTATCAGGGTGGTACATCATGTGGGATATAATGAGCACTGAACAAATACTTTTAGATTTATTGATTTAGTTAAATTTAGAACAAATAATGTTTAAAGCTATCAATAAGTAACTCTCTGATAACTTACAGTAACTGTGCAGAAGCAACACTGGAAACTATGAATTAAGAAGAAATTTAAATTTTAGAAAGTCATTTGCTCGTACCGCCATGAAGAACATCAGTTTGTGGGTAAATTACAGTCTGGACGATGATCTCAAATTAAATACAACTATAAAACAAGTAAAAAAATATTTAAAAACATAATGTGGGACAATAGATGTCTTCTAGGGCTTTCTAAAGAGGTATAAAAGTACAAGGTTTAATGCAAACAGAACAATAAGTGATGAAATATACAGACAAGTAGTGGGTAGGAGTTAATAAGTTAAACTCCATCCTACTCGTTTTCACACGTTATCGTCGCTTCTGGATTTTGTTTGTTTGTTTTTGCCTTTATGATACTGTTGCATGTCTGAAAAACAAATTACACATTCTTGCATAACTCAAAATGTGAAAACAAACCTCTTTAGCGTCAACGAAATCAACAAAATGTCACGACTGGTCATATAAAAAAGAAAATTCAGCTTTCTCGATTGTGATTTTAAACGAACGGCTGTATTCGTATCACTGTCGTCGTTACTCACTCTCCTAACTTGTCTTGCGTGTTTGCAGGGAGACGGGAGGCAGGGCAGGTACGGGGAGCAGGGTCATTCATTTCACCAGCATCACTCCGACGAGGAAGAGGAGGACGAGGAGGGGTTTGCGCGTGGCCGTCGGAGAGGACCCTCAGTCGACGAGTTCCTCAGAGGCTCTGAGCTGGGGAGGCCGGTAAGGAGGGGCTGATAAGTGACCAACTCTTTTCCTTCTTTTTTAAACTCCAGCACCCAATGAACAAAAAAACAACCAAACCAGCAGCTCCTCGGCGTGTACGTCTGGAAGCGCGTGTGCATGTGTGTCTGGTTGGATCGCATGCGTACACTCCTTTTGCCCTCGTCTCTGTGTTCGTTCACGTGTTTGCACATCCACGTGTGTTTGGTGTGTGCATGCGTGTATACATGTACGTTCGTGGACTTAAACAACTGCGTCTTGTGTGTTTGTGTGTGTAACTACCAAAAGCCTCACTATAGTCACAATGAAGATTATCACAGCGAAAGCAGCCGGGGCTCTGACCTGTCTGACATCATGGAAGAGGATGAGGAGGAGCTGTACTCTGAGATGCAGCTGGAAGAGGGACGTCGACGCAACTCGCACAACACACCCAAGGTGCAGTTCTTTGCACTTATTCTAAAAAAAAACCCAAGAGTCATCCACCCAAATTTTATTATGACTTAGCGAACTGCACAGGCACAGATACTTCAACTGAGACTGCTGCCTTGACTTGCATTTGATATGTGTTGTTAGTGTGTGTGCTGAGTTTAGTTCAAATTTGTATAGAAAGACGAAAAAAAAAAAAAGAGAAGAGGGTTTTTTTTTTTTCATGTGTCAGCCCATGGATAGAGGGGCGGAGGCGGCCCGTTTAACCTTTTCAGGACCATGGAGAACGATAGAGAAAGAGCCTGGGTTTGAATGTTTCAGCTCCATGGAGACTGACGAACAGTGAGAGGCTAGCGTTTAAGGTGCTTTCAGACAGCGAACGCTCGCTGCCTCGGCGAGCTCCATTGTTTCACTGTTTTCAATGCCGCGCTCGTGGCTATTTCCCTCGGCTACTGATTCCCCTTGCCATCGCAGCTCAAAGTGTGGCCATGGCAACCACGGAAACCAAACAGAGACGCTTACACCGATCAGCCAGAACATTAAAACCCCGATATTGTGTAGCTCTGAACTGTCAGGGCGTGGACACCGGACCTCTGGGGGGTGTCCTGTTACCAGAACCTTGGCATTGGATTTCCTTGAGGTTGTGGGCTGGGGGCCTCTGTGGATGCATTTCGGGGCATGCTCTGGATCTTGATCAACACCTTGAGCTCTTTGTCGTGTTCCTCGAGTCATTCCTGAGCAGCTTTTTTGTGACGGCATGCCTCGTCCCGCTGGGTGAGTGTGCTGCTGTCGGGCGGCGCTGTCGCCTCGGGGGGGTGTGGTGCTTTGGTCTGCAGCAGTGTTTAGGTGGGTGTTGTGTGTCGAAGTAGCATCCACGTGCATGTCATGACCCAGCAGAACACCGCACCGGATCTAGACTAGCTTTATCATTCACTCCACCTGTCAGTGACTGTAATGTCGTGGCTGATCGGTGTATTTGAATTGTGTCAACCTGCACTGGGGCAACCTAGACTTTTGATTATTTACTCTGGACCACATACGTTTGATGTTGTCTAAAGGCACCTTTAAAGTTTCAGCAACTAAGACAGAACCAGAGAGGTGTGAACTGGGTTTGAGTAGATTGTGTCTGAGTGAGTAAATCAGACTGGACTTGGAGGAAGTGCTGAAGAGGTGTAGAACGTGCCTACCCGTATCCTAGATGTAATTTTACTAATTTTAATTCACTAGTGTGCTACTAGTAACTGCTTAATTTTGGAATGTTAAATTTTCTCATGGGCTTGTGCGTGTTTGAATGTGAGTCTATGCGTCTGTGTTTCAGTGCCTGCCTGTGAGTTCTGCATGATTTTGTTTACATACAATTTGTACAAGTATGTCAATGTGCATTTTTTTTTTTCACCTATTTTTTTATTTACTTCTTTATTTATTTATTTATTTATTTTAACGAGAGTGTGTCCGTGTTTCCGTGAGCAGCTCGCGAATGCTTAATGTTTGTGAATGTTTCTGTGTCCGTGTGCATTTTTAGACAAACACTCCCGCGGGAGGACGTCACGACCGGGACGCCGGGAGACGAGGTCATCACGGCGGTCCTCAGCCTCACAGACGACCTCTAATGGTCCCCTCCATTGGTCAGTATGAGCAGGTGGCTAGACAGAAAAAGGCTTTGTTTTTTATAGTTTTTCTGTTTTCTGTGCCATAATACGGTAGCGTTTGTTACTCTATTAAAACCTTCATGAGCTTCTTTGTGTCTCCAGATCACATCTGTGTGTATGAACCATGCTCATACCTTTCAGTAGCTGGACTTTGATCTTGCTTTGAGATGATTATGATGCAGCTTTATGAAACTGCTGTGCACTGTTGCACTACACAGTGAAACCTTAACGTACTCTGACACTGATAAAAGAATAGCTTTGCCAGATTAGAGCTCCGCAGTTGCTCCACTGACTGTGTGTGTTTGCTGTTAGGAAGCAGCACGAACCTTCAGTTTAACATTTTGGGAGGGAAAAGTCGAGCTTTGCTTTGTAACCCCGTCGCCTTCTAACTTTCCCATAGAGGTAACCTCTGAGAATAACAGTGAGGGAAACCTCTCCCCCATCACCGAGGATGTTTACTATGGCAGAGTAGCTCGGCACAGGACGTGGTCATCCCGCAGGCACATGGGCGGCAACAGGTCTCCCCATGGTATGTGCCTGCAGTCCTGTTCTCTACCACCACAGCATGGCAACAGAAAGGCCACCAGCACCTGGCAAATGGCAAGAAGTAGCTGTGGACACTTGCAAGTGCCTGTTTCTTTGTCGTAAAGAATAATAGTTATTATTATTATTATGCTTACAGTTAAACAGCATGACTGCACTGCACTGAAATGTTGGACCCGCTGGCGAGCCATGCCCGGGGTCCACGGTGAACGTTTCCACAGTTGCAGATGATAAATGACTGTTCAGGGAATGCCTCACACACACTGCACTGAGCTCCTGCTGAAACCCTTCCCCTCTGTGGTACAACCACGCCTAGCACACACACGTGACAGGACCGAGCATGCATGAAAGTTGGAAGAGATAACAGTGGTAGACATTAAACAATGACTACATTGTTGCTTCTTCTCGTTTTTCTTTTTTTTTTTAGATGTTTGACTTTCTTTTGAAGCATCAGTTTGAAATGTCTGTGCTGCTAGAAAAGCAGTTGTCCCTTCTATTTCTTTCTTAGCACCACATGAACACACCTATCAGGCTCTCTATAGGTTGGCACACGCTCACCTCGGAGCATCATCGGCTCGTATTTTCAAGTTTCATTTCAAGCATTGGCCCAGTAGTGTCACATTATTGCAGCGAGCTAATGCTAAATTAGAACACACGACAGGCTTCCACAACAGCACTGCCATCTCTGCTTGAGACCTGAGGGTTGGCAGTGAGTGGGAAGTTTTAGATTACTGTATCTGTGTCTGTCATAGGTGGATTTCTTTTTTTAGCATGCATGTCAGAGTCTTGTCTGTTGCCGGTGTCGTGTCATGTCCATGAATCACATTTTGTCTGCGTGTTGCACCACGGTTCGTCTCGCTCCTCATTTGTCTCTCACGGCACAAAAATAGACACCTGAATACCTGTAGTGTGTGTGTGTGTGTGTGTGTGCGTGTATTTGTCGATGCATGTGTGTGCTACAGGAAATTTATTAAATAGTTCACTGGGCACAAATTTCTTCCTGCATGCTGACGGGCACAAATATGGCGAGATAAGAAAATCAAATCCGTCATGCAGTACTGCATGATCAAATCAATAGGACTTATTCAGATGAAAAATTTCTCATTGATTTCCTTTGATTGAGGCATGGCTGAGATACATCACGAATTTACGCCACGTAGATGTGGTGCACGCTGTTTGCAGCACTACGGTTTGTGATATGATTTTACAAGTTTTGTTGCAGATCTCTGAAATCTGCTCCGTCTGTGTCCAACACCATAAACACAGGTTACTTTAACTTCACAAAACTGAAGAAAAAACAACCAAAAAAAGCATCTAAATTTAGTTATTAAACCAATGTTTCCTACAAAGTGCCTGTTTTGTGTGTTGGGTCACACGTCTTGGTTTTCCTGCAGGGACGATGGGATTTTATTTTCTGTCTTTTTGCGTGTTTAAGATGGCTACAGGGATCGGGATCGGGACCGCCGCTCCCCCACGTACTACGATGAGTCGGAGTCCGAGGAGTCCTTTCGGATCTTCGTGGCCCTCTTTAACTACGATCCTCTGTCCATGTCGCCCAACCCAGATGCAGCCGATGAGGAGCTGCCGTTCAAAGAGGGGCAGATCATTCGGGTGGGAGTTTTGGTCACAGGTCCTCTTTGGAAGTACCATAACAGAAGTGACAAGACCTCTAAACCGTCCTCTTCTTTTTATCCACCAGGTGTATGGTGATAAAGACACCGATGGGTTTTACAGAGGAGAGGTGAGGGGCAGGATGGGGCTGATCCCCTGTAACATGGTGTCGGAGATACGAGCAGACGACGAGGAGACCATGGACCAGCTCATCAAACAGGGCTTTCTGCCGCTCAGCACCCCGGTGGACAGAATAGGTACCACACAAGCACGCAAAAGGCTTAAATAACGACAACACGGGGAAATACGCTCTGCAAAAATGTCGTTTACTTTCACTTGCAGAGCAGAACAGAAGAGGCCTTCGTCGGGATCAGGCCTCCAGGAGGATGGTGGCTCTGTATGACTACGACCCCAGAGAGAGCTCCCCTAATGTTGATGTCGAGGTATCGCAAACACAATGAACTTCTGGGATCCACATTCCACTTAAAACATGTTAAAATTCATACGATTTGTATAATCTGTATAAAAATCCCTCTTAACTCCAAACCAACCAGTGGTGGAGTCATGTTTTTTGGAAAAAAATGTAAAATAAACTGAAATGAACTTCTTTTTTTCCCCTTTTTTTCGTCATTTATAAACTGTCATCATGCACAAAACACATTTTTGAGTTTTCTCGACTTGTTTCATGTTTCAAACTTCAGTAAAAGTCCAAACAGAGGCCAAGATAATAAAATCTATGGTATATAAAAGCAGAGAAGGTTCCTTTTTGTCAAGACTGAATTAAAGCAGAATGAATTTTAATAACATAGTTGCTTGAATTGCCTTCCTTGTACATCTATTTCTGCATCTCTGTCTCCTGATAGGCTGAGCTGACGTTCTGCGCTGGTGACATCATGGCTGTGTTTGGCGATATCGACGAAGATGGGTTCTATTATGTGAGTTTGCTTGTCTTTAACGTTTCAGTTGGGCTAAATTTTTTTGTTAGAACAAGCCAGATGTAATGTGGTCATCTTTACAGTGTTTATGGGAAGCTTAGCTAACTGGTTCCTGGCACCACTTCTCATATTTACTGTAGTGACATGAGGGTCGCTGCCAGAAATCAAACAAGCTTATTTTATAAATGTGATCAGGAAGGAAAAAAGGGAAAGTGATAAAGCACTTTTGAAAA